TACATCTTTTAGTAAAACGATGTACACAAACAAAATATTTGACAATATCTATGAAACTTAAATACATAGATATATATTATGGATAAATAAAATATAAAGAAATGTAAATAAAACATATACGAAACTCAAATAAAACTGAAAAGAAATTAAACAGAAATAATTGTTTTAAAGTAAATTAATTATACATGGTAGAATAAATTGTCTTGTGCAACTTTGCCCTACTTGTACCACGTTTTTTTAAATGGCGCTCTGTTGCTTTTTTGCAATAAGTTAAAATACGAAGTTTGATATATTTCCATGCTATTATTTTAACTATTTGAGTCTCGTGAAGATCTTCGTCTCCTGTATTGTCCATTATAGGATGTTCAGGTGTAAACATTGTTTTTATGTTTGGCAATAACGTTTGTATAGTATTCATCACAATGTTTTGTTTAAAATTTGTTTCTTGCATACCACGAAACATTAATTCTGTTTTAAATGCTCTCTCTACAGTTTCCACAATTTTAAAAACTGCACTTGACGGATAACACAGTTTTCCGCGATTTACAAAATGTGTAAATGAGTTATATTTCATAATATCTACTGTATAATTATGAATATTATCACACATTGCCACTTCCTTTTCAATTAAAATTTTTGCACAATGATGGCAATTTATTTCCTTTAATAATGTACGAACTATAGTACCAGCTATATAATACAAAATATTTTCTTGTATACATGAAAGCTTTATATCATTTGCTAGATTTAAAAATGCTTCTGATTCCTCTGAATTTTGGTTTGTATCATAATTATGTGTAACACGGGTCGGTTTTCGAAATTGCAATATGGAGCACGTTTCGGAAGTATCACCTAAACAATTGGCGTTCACACTAGCACGAACAGCATTATTAAACAAAAGTTGCCGCAAAGCCCATTTAAACTGTAAGACATTAGGATTGTCGTTCCATCCACCACGTCTTCTTATGCATGAAAAAAATAATTCTATGTGATCCTGAGAACACTTGTATGTCAACAAATATTTCAAAGGTTCCTCTTTTCTGTTCAGTAAATCACATGCTAAATTATAATAACTTTCAGTATTCATTTTAAATCCTACTGCAAAAGTACGTCGCGAATGGAGAAAAATATTTTTGTCATCTATTTTTATACTTGAAATGAATGTCATGCTATCATCGAAAATTTGCTTAATTATTTGTAAGTTATTTATCATCATTGGTGACTTAAAACCTGTACCAAAACTGTTTCGTGAATTCATTATGTCGAATAATCTATCAATAATACGGATGAACTTGGTTGTTGCTTCACTACCTTGAAAATCTTTATGTCCGCTTATTCTGAGAAAGTCAGTGGAATCAGCAACAGAGTTACTTAATACTTGTGCTGCTAGACGTACATTCATTTTATTATCTTTAAAATAAATATGTTTATGACTTAACTTATTAGCAAGTTTCAAATCTGCTACTTCTTGAAGCGCGTGTAATTTTTCTATATAATTGAATGAGATTGAACCAAGGTCTGATATCATATTTGACTCTGCAAAGGCATTTCGTGCAAGTTTAAGCATATGACATGGATCTAATATGCAGTAAATGTTTGACTTATTAAGTGGATGTTCAAAATAACTTTTCATGTTATCACCAGAAATGTTACACCCAAGTAATTCGAAAGTTGAAAGATTGGTTCTAGTCCCATCACATGTTATGGAACGTACTGTTACACCTACTTCATACAGTTTGACAATAGCAGATTTAATTAACTGTGTTTGAATGTTTGCATTAATTTTATTAATATAAAAATATGCTATTGGACATTTAAATTTATCAGTGTACGAGACAATTTGGAAAACTAAAGCTTCTGTAGCCATATCTGTAGAATTATCACTTAAGATACCACCGAAATCAACAAAACCCACGTTTTTATCATCATTAGGATCAGGTACAATTTGTGACCGTATAGCCATATCGAATCAAATATTAAAGCAACATCTTTCAAGAAATGTTTCTTTGGCACTTCTGTTTGTAAATATTCAAAAACCTCTGTTAAAAAGCCAACATTACATTTGTAATTGCTCAACCACTTACGTAACATTGATGGATGAGGAAGAAATAGTGTTTCTCGAAGAAACTCATACGCTTTAGGACTATAAAAATGTAGTGTTAAAGCGAATTGTTTCATGTGTGGTGTATACCGCCTCCGTGATTTTTCAACATTTTGATTCCTATACTCATTTAAAATAAGCTCTAATTTTAAACCATCAAAATTGCTCATTAATACCTGTTCGAGATCCGAATTATGCATATTATTTGTTTTCAATGTGTCTATAAGATTACGCATTGTAGTAATGGTTAGCTCTCGACGACGTAAACGTTGTTGTAATATATGCACTTTCCTCTGTAATTGCGTATTCTTTTCTAATATCCTTTGTTTCTTAGGAGAAACTTGAGTACTTATATCCACAGATGCCCGTTTTATTGCCTGGAATAAAATTTCAACTTTTATAAAGTGAAAGAAATATTAAGATAATGAAAATTATTATTTATGTGTACCGTTTCACATATTTGTCCTTGTGACATAGTCTTCTCTGCTTCACGTGTAAAATTCTGAAATATACATAGTATTAGTATATAATTTTTACTTATAAAATTAAATATAATAAAATAAATATATTATATTTTCAAAGTATTATAACACACATCGAATATATTATTTTCGTCTCTTGCATCTTCAGATCCTGAGTAAAAAATTGAAGGAATTGCATCTTCTTTTAATATATTCTTTCCTGTTGGTGTGGATGGTTGAAAGGAGTTTTCACAAAAATGCGTACAACAAATATATATATTACGTTGTAATGTGATTAAGTCTGGTGGAATTGCTTGCAACCATTTGTTATATTGAAGAGTATCCTTACGTGGAAATCTACAAAAAGGCGAACTGTAATATGACCCATAATATACATCATGTGTAAAACTTATAAATTATACTACAAACAATAAATTTAATAAACCAGAGTACAAATTTATTCTAAAAAACGTCTCCAAAATGTATAAAAAAGTTTCATGTTTTTTAGACGTTATTTCGACATTTTTTAAATATCATTTAGAAATTTGTATTATCTGAACATTATATAAACTTTATTACCTGTGTAATGACACATACGGATTCTTATCTACTGTATTAAAACAAGTTTTTATGCAGCATTTTTTCCCCATTTTGGATCGCGCGCTGCACATCTCACACGCACTGCACAACGCATGTAAGTGATGTAAATACACACACATATATACGAATATGTATGTGTACACATGTACATACGACGAGTCGAGACCAGAAATGCCAGGATTGAACACTCGTGCGTCGCACGACACGAATAGATACAGCGTCTTTGTGTACGTGTCGAGGCGAATGTTTTCAGTCATGGTAGTTTACGTTAGAAAAGGACAACACGGTACCCGTTCAACTATCCCTCTCGGATCGTGAGGAACCGTGGTGGGGGTATAGCAGTGCTCCTTCCAGTATGGTTATAGTTCAATGCCGCTAGTCCATTACTTTGAGGGTAGCGAGGGCTAGAGTACTTGATTATAATGTTTGTGTCGTTTGCAAATTTATCGAATTCTAATGAGTTAAATGGGCTGTTATCGCATCTGATCTCCGTTGGGTATCCATAACGACAGAATATTCCGTGGAGGCTATCTATAATATGACAAGTTTTACTTTTAATTCGTTTGGAACAGACAAATCCTGAGTAAGCGTCAATGAGAGCTATAAAATCAAGTCCTGCATATTCATACAGATCAATTGCGATGCAATGGAAGGGATACTCCGGATGAACATCTTGCTTGAGTGGTTCCTTCTGGTTATTTCGTGTAAATTGTTCACACACGACACAGTCCTTGACCGCTTCCTTAATGTCATTAGTCATGCCAGGCCAGAAAAACTGCTCTCTGGCTCTGGCCACTGTTTTTTCGATACCCAGGTGAGGGGCATGTACCCATTTGCAGATTTTTGACTGTAACTCCGTCGGTATAACTAATCGATGATCCTTAAATAAAAGGCTATTTTCAAAATGTAACTGATCCTTATATCTGTAAAATGTTTGTGAGAATTCATCGAGCTTGTGGTATGATGGCCATCCATCAACAACATATTTCACGACCCTTGAATATCGTTCATCACCTTTTAACGTATTTTTGTAGAGATTGTAGTTCTCTTCAGAGAGACACACTTGACGAGTGACGGAGTGAATAATTCCAGATAACCCAAGTGTGTCTGGTCCGGCAGCGTCAACAGTAGCACGTGACAAACAATCCGCGACATGCATATCCTTACCAGGAGTGTACACTATTGTTAGTCCAGGATATTTGAGCAAGTGTAGAAACATGCGCTGCAATCTAGCAGTCACATCATCAATGTCTCGCTTTATCAGCGACTCAAGCGGCTTGTGATCTGACTGAACTGTAAATTCGCGGCCATAAAGGAAGTGGTGAAACCGCTCACATGCGAAGACTATAGCCAGGGTTTCCTTTTCAATTTGAGCCCATTTCTGCTCACTGGCGGTGAGGCTGCGTGAAGCATACGCGACTGGTTGGCCGTTTTGTAGAAGAACGCTTCCTAACCCGTCTTTTGAACTATCAGTTTGTATGACAACAGGCTCGTTTGGATCATATATCCGGAGTGCAGGCTTAGTTGTAATGGACCGTTTAAGATCAGCTAACTCCTTTTCATGATCAGCTGTCCACAACCATTGACTACCGTTCTTGGTTAGTTCCCGCAACTTGGCTGATCGTTGCGATAAGTTTGGAATAAAACGGGACAAGTATTTGAATAGTCCAAGCAGCCGCATAACTTCAGGTTTGTTCGAAGGTCGGGACATCTTGAGGATGGCATCCAGGTATTTAATATCGGGAGATATGTAGCCGTTGGTTATATGATAGCCCATGAATTTAACGTTTGACCGCCGGTATTGAATCTTGTTTGGATTGAATCTGATGTTGTTTGCTCTAGCCCGTTGCAGCAAGTGTGCAATCATGCTCTACTAAATCAGATCCCGAAATGGCTATATCGTCAAAATATATTTTAACACCCGGAATATCTCCGAATATCTGAATCATTTTCTTCTGAAACATTTCTGGTGCGCTGTTGAGTCCGAACGGAACGCGATTCCAGCGAAAGCGTCCAAAAGGCGTCATAAATGTAGTCAGATCAGAGCTCTTACGATCAAGCTCCATTTGCCAAAATCCATTACTAAGATCAAGTACAGTAAAGATATGTTTACCCGATAATTGGCTCACAATGTCTTCGGCGGTTGGTATTAGAAAGTGTTCTCGCTTGATACACATGTTGAGTGGCTTAGGATCAAGGCAGATCCGTAGGGAACCATCAGGTTTTTCAACTATTTGCATGTTGTTTACCCAGTCTGTTGGATAGTCCACCGCACTGATGATGCCCTGTTCTGTCATAGACGATAGCTGTGCCTTTAGCCGGTCAATGAGACTCAGGGGAACCCGTTTCTTGTAGTGCAATGAAGGTGTAGCGCCATCCTTGAGGATGATCGAGCAGGTGCCTGGGAATCTGCCTAGACCCTCAAAGATGTCTTTATTTTCCTGTACAAATGTTTCGACATCAGAAGGAAGGTTGTATAATGCATTAACAGCGTTGAGTCGTTGAATTAAATTAAACGAGATACAAGACTCCAGCCCCAGTAGCGGTTCGCACTTATTATCGACAACTAGAAACGACGCGACATGACTTGATTTACGATCAGGATCGATACATGCGATTGAAGCCTCGCCATAAACTTTTATGGCATTTGAATTATAGTCAGTGACAGTAAAACTCCCAGATGAGTCAATCGGAATGTTTAATCTTTTAATGAGACCAATTGGAATGCAATTGACATCCGATCCTGTATCCAGCTTAAATTGAACGCTCTGGTCCTGTATAAGTAACGCTTTCATTCATCTGTTTCTACCTCCACCAGCACCAGAATTAGAATTTACTCTATAATTACAATGTTTAGTCTTAATTAAGGTACTTACACTAGATGCATCACCTTCCTGATCTACTAAAGTTAAGTTAGCATTACCTAGCTCGCCCCAATTGACGCTTTTAACAGAGTTTTCTGATGACTTGTGATCCGATGACTTTGCCGGCTTGGCGACAGCAGGCTGCTCCGAGCGGGTTTCCTTTTTTTCTCCCTTGCAAAACTTTTGGAAATGTCCTATTTTTCCACACCTATTGCAGTTAGCGCCGATTGCTGGGCAGTAACGACGATGTTTTCCATTGTACGGTTGACCACAGTTCCAGCAATTGTTAGTACGTTTGATTGCAGCGATGTCTGATGACTCTCCATTGGATTGTTTAACAGCGGATTTGACTTCTGCTGAATTTCCTTGGTTACGGTCCAGCAGTTGTTTGTTGGCGGTAGCAGCCTCGAAAACTTTGCAGGTTTCTATAATTCTTGGTAAAGGCTCATCCTTGCCATCCAACAACTTCAATTGTAACTTCTTGTCTTCCCAGCAAACGAAAAAAGATTGAAAATAATTAAAACGGGATTGCCAGGAATTCAATTAAGGACTTTCCGAATTCCATTCTGTCCCAAAAAGGGATTGAAATAGTTTCAATATCATGGAATTTCTTATTTTGGAAAGAATTTGTCTTTTTTGAATCCCATCCAATTCCGACACAAAAATATTATATCACTGAATGCCAGGTTAGGGGTTGGAAAGTTTCGTGATGAATTCCATTGAATACCATTGATTTCGTTAACGAAATGAATACCATTGAATGCCAAACTAGGAATTAAAAATTTCCATATTGAATTCCATTGAATTCCGTCTATTCTGACAATAAAATGAATACCATTGAATGCCAGGATAGGGATTGAAAAGTGTTCGTGTTGAACTCTGTGGCGGTACGCGTCATCAATAGTACACGCCCGCGCGGTATCTGCATTACCGGCAGTTTGCGTCGACGCCGCTAGGCGTTGCATCGCCGGAACATCTTTTCGAGTTCAAAGTTTCGTCTCGACCGCTATGTAAAGGGACCACCTACGGGGCCTGACAGATCTTACAAATCTCATTTTCGGGCTAATTGCCCGTCGGCAGTAGTGCGTGTAATGCCCTTAAGCATACACAAAAGCTCACCGACGAACAACGGAGGCGCGAGACATTTCCTAAACCATCTAATGCCATGCAATTCTATAACCTTTACGGATTCCATAGGATTGGATGGAATTAAAAATTTCTTTTTTGGATTCCATGGGATTGGACCATCTCATTTCGAATTCGATCTAATTTCATCTAATTCCGCCAAAAAAGGGATTCAAAGGTATTAAAAAATTTTAATATCTTTTAATCCTTTTGCGTTTGCTGGGT